ATTACTAAATTCGGTATAGTAAGGGTTTTTTTATATTTAAAAATCTGTCTGACAATGAAAATCCGTTGTATTGTAAATTCGTTATATCAAATTCGTTGTAGAAAGAGTTGACTGTACTAATATTAAAAAAAGCTGATATTACTGCCAAAAAGCTAATACTATTACTAAAGTTAACACCAAAGCCAATGTTAAAAAAAGCTGATATCACTAAAATGCTAATACTAATATCAAAACTAATGTTAAAGCTAATATAAAAAAAACTAATAATTTTATCAAATTCAATGCTAATATTATTATTAAAGTTAATATCACTAATGTTAAAGTTAATGCTAAAAAAAAAACTAATGAAACTAATGTCAATACTAAACTAATACCAAAGTTAACATCAATGTTAATATTAATGTTATGCCAAAAAAAAATCAACCTCTTACCGATCTTTTTTCTGACCTTCCTCCTTTTCATTATTCGATTTATTTGTCTTGGATTTAAAGGTTGTTTAGGAGAAGGCTCAAATTCAACATTTTGCTAAAACTATTATATTTTAATTTTTATAATTATATTATTATCACATCATCAATACTATATTAATTTTTTTTTAATAATATTCAATATGTAAATTTTTTTAATAGGAGGGTTAAAAAATTTTTTTTTTTCATTTAAAATAATAAATATTATTGTTTTTTTGATAGCTAAAGATTTATAAAAATATGTTAAATAATTATATTGAATAAGAATCATTATATAGGATGAATAAATTGTATAATTATTTCAAAATTTCTGATCAAAGTTGAATGAAGAATGTTTTAATATTCTTAAATAAGAATTAATAATAGTTTGTATATTAGTATTCCAAAAATCTGCATCAATTTATTTAAAAAGAGAGATTTAGAATTTTGGAAATATTAATTTTAGAGATAATGTATATAATATATGATAAACGAATATTTTTAATAATTGGAATATTTAATAAGCGCTTTTTTTTTTCTTTTTTGATAGAAAAAAAAATAGCATTAATTTCAGATAATTCAGAGTAAAGGAAAAAAAATAAAAAGGTAAGAAAAAAAAGATGGTTATAAATAAAAATCATGCAAAGCCCCCAAAATCTTGTTTATCACAAAGGCACAAAAGTGTCACATGAAAATCAAAAAATAGATTTTTACGCAGTATATAAGGAAATTTTACAACGTTTTTTTTATAGAGGATTTAATTCTATAAAAATTTTTTACAAAGAATAAAGTTTAGCAAGGTTGATCGCTGCGAAATTAATGATAATTAGTCGCAAACATCGTTTATTTGTCACTGATAAGTACCTTGTGATAAAGACAAAAGAATTTTATTCCAAAATTTATTAAACGTTTTTCCTCCTTAACCCTTAAGTGGATAAAAAAAAAAAACTAGTTTTTCCAAAGATAATCTTGAGGCGGAGAACGGTTAAGCCATATATGCACGTGTGTAATTTTCCGACAAATTCCGGTTGGGAAGATTTAATCATTCGATGTATAATGACGCAAATCTTAATAAACTTTCATGATTTACTACTTCTAGAGAAAATTTGACGCGTAAAATTCCAAATCTGTAAAAAAGAAACTGGTTAAAGAAACTAAATAAAAAATAGGATTGTAACATCGCATTTTAGAGTTATGAATTCTAACACGTTTCACAAGCACAATTTATACAAATAGTTATTCAGGATAGTCAAATTCAGGGGAAACAAACGTTTCACCGCAGTTTAAGACGGTCACCTTTTTCAATTTGTAAGCGTTTATAGAATCAAAAGAAATATTTACGATTATTCGATGAAATTCAAATATTTGGACGGGAATCTTCTGATTTATTTTATTTTGATTAAATGTTTGATTATGAAATAAGGGATATAATTAATTTCTGAATTGTCATTTGGAGAAATAAAAAAAAATGTTAACATAATCATGCACACAAACGGCTAATAACTTTCCAAAATTACATGTATTCATTTAACAAAAAACCCATTGTGTTTAACATGATCCTTTTTTCTTTACATATGGTGTTTTCGCTTTCTTTTTCTCAACACCAAAAAAAAAAAATTTATTTCGTCCATAAACAATGATTAAAAAATATTGAACACCGCATCCTTTTCATTTGACTTCATTTCACCAATTTTTTTGCAAAAAACATTTCGTCGGTTTAATTGGTGAATCGATTTTTGTGTTAATAAAACATTACCTTATTTTCCAAATTGTTTGGTTCAAGGATGTATCATTTCTTTCCTTAATCAGCATAACAGAAACGCAGGATATATTTTATTAATTTTTCAAACATAACTTGAGTTTTGAAGATCTTTATAATTGGTGTTCTAAACATCAATTTCTCCCTTAATTTTCCCTATGACTTTGTTTTTATACACAGAATTTATCTCACAGCTATATAAAACATTTAAAAAAAAAAAATATACCTAACAAATATTATAAACACACCAATAAAAAAATTATGTAATAGTCTGCACAAGAAAAAATTGTGCCAACTAACTATTTGTGTACGTGGCGAAGCGTTATACTTTGGAAAAAAAAAACTTTCAAGTGTTAGATAAACATTACTGTTGATTCAATGGTTGAACCATAATAATAGTATGGCGTTATACGGTATTTCCCTAGTTATATATATATTTTCTAAATAAAGTATCATTTGCGGGGCATTGCATATTCATCATAAAAATGATATTGTCTCTTTATCATTATGTTTAAAGTAAAATTTATTACTTATCAATTTGTTTCCATTGGTAAATAGCATATATATATATATATAAATACAAATAACTATTTCTTATTGATCCCTTCCCAACCCAAAAAAAAAAATTTTTTTTTTTGAAAACTGTAAATGGCGGCGTAACCCATTTCTTCCAACTTGTTAAAAAAAAAAGGAATTCTACCCAAATTTTTTTTTTTTTTTATAGAAAAAAAAAAGTCTAGAATCTAGAATTATAATAATTGCTAAACCATAAATGGCTCGCACTTGTAAAGTATTTCGATGGATTTGTAAGGTATTATAAAATTTATTTGATTTTATTAAAGCAAGAAAAAAAAAATTCGTCCTCCCATTTATGTTAAAGTATTAAAATGTTATTAGGCTGGAGATGCTACTATATGCCGACGGCCAAAACTAGACGATGATAATAATAGTATAATTTTTTCAAATACATCGGATATAGAATATACACATACAACGAGATGCAAGCATAAACCCTCTAATACACGCGAAACAGGTGAAAGGGAAATATGGAGAAATAAAGTGGGAGGTGACTTTACTCCAACAGGCTCATTAAAAGATAGAGGGAAGAAAAAGCATAAAAGCCTTCCCGCATGGAGGAATTCTCTTAATGCAGGTGGAAGCTCAAAGAAGCTTGGTCTCGTCGTTGATACTCGTCGATTTTGCATGGTAGATCCATTCAACCCGACTATTAACAGAAAGAGTTTTGTATTTGACACTACGTGGAACATAACTGCTTATTTTACTTCAACTGACAACAACAATATTAACCCCAACATTACAGTTGATAATAATAGTGATAAAAAAAGTTTTTTAGATTATTTGGGTGAAGAAAGTCCTGCTACTATATTGATTGCTAAAAAGGAAAATTTGGCGAGAAATAGTAGATTTAGTATGCAACCGGTTCGTCGTAATAATAGTAACAGACGTTCCATAGCAAAAGATATAAGGGAAGTTCGAACATTTCGATGGGAAAATCGAAATTACGATCGTGAAAAGACTAGCTCTCAATTATATGAACTTTATGAGAAGTACAATGATTCTCCTTTAGTCGATCTTCAGAACAAACCATTACCTCCCGTACCCAATGACAATGTGAACACACTTGATTTTCAAAATGATGATTATGATTATAACTTTCGTCAAAGCATCATCGAGGACTCAGAGTTACAATCCATAATAGACACTTTATCTTTCATATCAGAATATCATAGTATAATAGAAGCTCCGGATGATGTTTTTGATAATAATTCATCGCATTACACGCCCACAAGTACGGCTCGTGAATCATTTTCCGAATTATTAATTGATGACGACACTATACCAAATCCATTTGAAGATGTTTCTGGTGTACCTTTAGCCATTCTGTCTACAAATTCGGCAAGAGATTCAATGAATTCAATGAAAACGTTACCTGTTGAGGTGCAAATGTGTTTATCTTGTAAAAGAAAGACGACGGATAGTGGTTATAGCATCCAGTGGTGTAAAGCGTGTGAAATGAAAAGGTTCGAACAACAATTTGAATCATGGTCAAGTGGAAATGATGACGTTGATATTTTCATCTTGGAAAGTCAATTAAATTCATCAAGTTACTTTGATTATTTGGAATGGATATCTTTTGATAGATTACAAGATATTGAATTAGTTGATGCTGGTGATTACGGTTGCGTATTTCAAGCCATTTGGAAAGATGGTCCTCGTGAGAGATGGGACATGAATAACAGTCAATACGTTCGATGTGGTGAATGTCTTGTCGAGTTGAAATGTTTTGAGGATTCTCAAAACTTCTCCTCAGATTTCTTCGATCGGGTAAATATACATTTTTTTTGAAAAAATAAAATTTATTATACCATTGTTTTTATTAACATTTGCTTTTTTTTTTATTTATTTATTTATTTAGTTATCTAAATATATTCAATGTGAAAATAACACCGGTCAGCATATAGTACGTTGCTACGGGATAACACAGGATCCAATATCGAAAGAATACATGCTAGTATTACAATACGCAAAAGATGGGAATAATTCCAATTATTTGAAACGAAACTTTGCTGAAATCACATGGCAAACACGATTGGAAATTTTACACTCTCTCGCAATAGGTCTCAACAGTATACATGAAAATAATTTAATACACGGGAATTTGCATAGTGGGAATGTGCTTATAAGTGATCATGTAACCCTTATAAGTGATCTTGGATTGTCAAGTCGTAATGATAATGGATCATATGGAGTTTTACCTTTTGTTGCACCTGAATTATTAAAGAACAAACAATACACAATGGCTGCTGATGTTTATAGTTTCGGTATGATAATGTGGGAGGTAATCACAGGAAAAAAACCGTTCGCTGATCGTGCACATGATGAGAAATTGGCGACGGAAATTTGCAAACAAGGATTACGACCAGAAATTCCTACAGATATTCCAAGTTGTTTTGCCAGACTTTTAAGAAGATGTTGGGATTCGAATCCATTCGTACGACCTTGTGCAAATTCTTTGCGTGAAATAATAGCCGAATGGATTTGTGAAATATCGGAAAATACATCTTCGGAAATTTCAATCCAATTTCAACAATCGGAAGAAAAACGTCTTGAAAGTGTAAATTCTCAATCAGAAGAAGGATGTGTAATAAATGAAGATGATATTCACCCAGGGGCTGTATATACTAGTAGATTCTTTAATTTTGAAAATCTTCATGAACCAAATGTAATATTCTCTAAATCTCTTGATCCTAAAGATCATTTAGCAATACGACAATATATTGCAAATGAAACAAAGTATTATAATCTTAAAATTAATAGTTTGAAAGCGGAAAGTAGTAATATTGCTGCTGAGGTCTATGATATATTGCAGTATTGGTAAAAAATTTTCTCCACCCCCAAAAAAATTATAAAATTATTTATATTAAAAAAAAATCTTATAGAACCTTTTTTTTTTTTTTTTTTTTTTTTCCATTTATTTTTATTTTTTTTTTTTTTATTTATAACTTTTTTTTTTTTTTTTATTTTTTATTTTTTATTTTTTTTGCAATACTGGTTATTGTATCGTTTCCTTCTCACTATTGCAACGAATCCCCCCTTTTTTTCTTTAATTCCTTTTTTCTTTTATTCTTGTAAAAATTTTTTAAATTTTTCTTTTTTACACATCATCCTTATATTATTATTATTTATATCATATCTTTTCTTACCACAACTTACTAAGATTTTTATAAGGTTTATAAGATTTTATTATTAATATTCTTAACATATATTCTATAAAGAAATTAAAAGTATAACTATATAATAAATCATTTGTACATTAACGTGCACTTTCTTAAAGAAAATTAGATATTCAATTTATTTTGTAAATAACGACTTCATTAAAGAGATATGTGGTGATTTAATAAAAGTTGCAGCAGTTGCAGCAGTACCATAATAAAATAGTAACAGTACGTGTAACGACAGAACATAAAAAGATGGTGGTTTGAAATTATTGAGACGCGCGTTAAAATGGACTGTTATATGATTGGTCGATTCTGGGCTCCAATTAAAAACTACCTTCCCTTTAAAGTTAGTTTGGTTATTCGGAAACAAAAGTAGTCATGTGTAAAGATTCTTAAACTTTATTCCTTTTAAATTAATTCCTTAAGTTTGCAATTATTAAGGTTCCTCAGAATTAATTATATTGGTCACCTGCGAAAATTTTATGATTTTAATCCAATTAGTGTAAAAAAAAAATAAATAAATAAAAAAAAAAAAGAACAAAAAAGGCATGTGTATTCGATTACTTTTAAAATGGGAGTGTTCCAATTTAATAATTTTGCGACCATTTAATGGTTTACATTAAGATTTCGAAAAATTCATCAAACACAGATTATCATCTTTAAATGCCTGATAAATGCTACATTAGTATCGTATAATACCCCGGATAATAATATTGGAATATTATTGCGTACACAAATGTGGATACCACGGAGACAGTGACCAAGAATGTTTTAAAGCAAATTTCGTATGAACCTTATTTTTTTTTTTTTTAGGAAAGCTAAAGACCATCGGTCCGAACAGTTAGGCACCTGATAAGTGCAGTGCGTAAGGAGAATAATTTTCGCAAAGTACGTTCATTTGTAGTAATAATTGCGATTCAAACAATTTTATTAATATTTACTCAACAAATTGAAGTTTTAAATGAACGAAATGATGTAAAGGGAAAGATTAACTAAATTTCACGAATTTTAGCAAACGCGTTTTCAATATCATCAATATGCTCATAACCAACAGAGACACGCATCATCTCTTTAGTTACGCCCGAGGCAGGATTTATTATATATTCGACAAAGACAAATTCATATATTTATTTTAGTAAAAAAAAAATAAACATAAAAAATTAAAAATCTTCCTACCTTACAAATTTTAAAGCATCAATGAATAAATCTTTACGCAAAAGGTTAAAACACACCCAAATCCATTTTTTGGCATTTTTATGATAAGGATGTCCTAGAAATGAAACATTCAAAAACATCGTCCCTTGATTCTAGCTTGTTTTATGAACTTTTAATGATAAAATTTCAAGACCTTGCAATAACAAAAATGTCTCAAAAGGATTTTGACAGGGTTCCTACATCACGTAATATTTCTGCAAATGCCTTACAATAAATGAATCATATCCAAATAAATTCTTCCGTGAAATCCCGGACTTGGTTTCCATTTATTCCACGTGACACCGCCTATTGTTGTCCCCGTGACCTCCTATACTGTGAATCACTATTTCAGCTCCATGCTTGTGCTGAAAAAGATATCCACCTATAGATATGAATCTAATTTTAAAAAAATCACGATGGTAACCTTGAAAAATTATTGCAAGAACTTGTCTGCACCAAATATTCCCGCATTGTGTGCAACCTTACAGATTGCGGAATGTTAAATTTCGGATTACCCATAGATTCAACTTTCAATCAATTTGATAGATCATCGTCGTCAATGAATTTAACACCCAATCTTGGAAGTGCTACCCTAATATTTAACCGTACCTTGTGTAAGAATATGCTGCTTCTTTTCCATTAAAAACATTTGCAGCATGTTCAGAACTTTTAAACGTAAACGACGTAGTGGCATAAATTGGAACGGCCCTTGAACGTGTAGTAATATCAGGTATGCAAATGAAGAGTTTCAAATTGAGGTTTTTTTTTCTTTTGTGATCATTTTTTTAATACGGTGAAATTAATTAACTAAAAAAAAAAAAAGTTTGAAATTTATGATGGACGAAAAACTTTGATAATTTGCTAGGATAAAAACAGTTTGCTATTAAATTTTTTAATAGACCATCAGATTTCATAAATTAAGAATCCAATATACCATTTGCATACTTTCTTAATAAACGTCACCAGTTAATCTATAATAAGAAAACTTTTTTGAAACAAATCTTTTATTATTTCTATTATTTCTTAAGTGTTTACTAGAACGTTGTTTGTTTATAATAGAAAGAAAGTAATTTTTATCGCAATAAATAATTCCCACGGCATCATAAAATGAGATCAAAGTGGGAAAAACAATTTCAATTTCATATTAAAGATATTCTAATAAAGTTAAAATACGCGTCGTGTTTCGCGGAAGTAATTTAATAAAAATATCGGCCTTTTTATATAAAGTTGCTATCAAATAATAATTATAGCGCTTATTATGAATTATCTAAGCAAATATTTTAGTGAAAAAATAATAAAAATATAAAAGCGTTATGGAATTTAAATTCCAAGATTTATATTGTAAATTATAGATTTAATCTAGTAAAATGGATAACCGGATATTCAGATATTCAGATATTCGTTTCTTGGAAAAAAATCACATTGATTGGAGAATACTAATGTTCGAATCAACATCAAATATTACCGTTCGGTATCATACAAATCCGTAAACTTTCACATATTGTAATAATAATTAACTAAAAAAAAAAAAAAAATTTTTAAAAGCTATCCACACGATTTATGGTAAATAATATTTGTGTCGCTATACTTGGAACACTGACCAGTTCGTGGCTTTCTGTAAAAATGATCGGCAATCCCGAACTCTATTGTTTTGTGACGCGATATCCATTTGTCATTTTATAGATAGAAGACTTTTGGTCGCATTAATAAAAAAACAAAACACGGATTTTTATTTGACACAATAAAAAAGTTACTTTGAATAATAATAAAAATAATATGAAATTTTAAAAATTGTAGGACGTTTATATAAGGCCAATAACTATTCATTAATAAATATTTTCGAGAAACAACTTATTTTGTCGATGTAGATAATATTCGACGATCTTATAATATATGATTTATATCAAATTTATTTAAGGATTTTAACTTATTTTCGAATTGGCAAACGGCTCCTTGTCACCAAAGACGAAAATATGACTCATAATTTAAATATAATACTAAAGAACCTACTATTAAAAAGTAACAACAATCACGCGCCTTAGACATTAGAAAGGGATTTTTCAGAAGAATCGGTCAGACCGTCTCTACAATTGAGGAATTAATTATCGCGGACTTCTCTTGCTATAATTATTTGCAACCCGGTTTGGTTTCTCGTGCAATTGAGGAAATTTGTTTACTATGAAAAAGTCATTAAACCCGAATAAGAATTTTGGCATTACTATACTCAACCAAGGTTAATTTGTCTTCGCAAAGGAAAAATAGCAAGAGGCCCTTTCAATAAAATAAGAATGAATCGTACTTGGCACTTTGAGGAGAAAAAATCATTTACTTGAAGGTATGTAGTGTGTGAGAAACTAGTTTCTTTTTTTAGTTTGACCTAGAAAGTGTTGTGAGAAAGCTTTTTTTATCCCGCTTATAAACATTGATCGTGATGAATTTCTAAATTTGGGAAGATCCAGTTTGTTATCGTATGTATCTGTAATATTTATTTCAGAATTCAATAAATACCTGGAATACCTTCTAGGTAAACGTATCTTAAACATAAAACGCTAATAATATTAAAATCCATTGATGATAGAGACATTGAAATCACCACCATTCACGCCTCGATGATACGAGCCAATTGAAACTTTTTATGAGGATAACTTAGTAATATAATTCCTTTTGACAACTTCGTCAATTCAGCAAGTACAGCTTCCTAAATTGTGTTTTTTTTCGTACTTGCTATGCTTGAAGTAACATTAATCCAAGAATAATCATCATGGAATTCAGGGCGATCTGGTCAATAATTGATTAGATGCTCCTGGTTAGATAAATATATTCTGAATCAGGAGCATTCTCATCAGCAGTTATTGGCCGTGCCGTCTTGAATTCCACGTTGATAATTCTTGGATTATCAAAATTTATAATGTTATGTTACGCATAGCAAGTGCTGTTTAAGATGCTTTACTTGGTGAATTGATAAAAAGATATTATATTACTAAGTTATCCCCCATAGAAAGATTCTATCATTGTGGCACAAATGGTGGTAATTTCAATGTTTGCTATGTATTTTGGATGTATCAGTGCTCTTGAGTTGCTGTAGTTGTGGGTAAGACAGCAACTAAAAGTATAGTTGCAAAAGGTTGGGTATTGCCATTTAAGTATTTCACATTTAAGATCTCTATTTTATAAAATTTCTATATTTTTGAACTCGAAATTTTTTTATTTTTCGCGTGATAGCTATTCATTTCCAATTAAATTAGTTAATTTATCTGCGAGATTACTGATTCTGACAAGAAATTATATTTATATTATATTGATTTATTTTTTATTTTTTTATCACCATAAGCTTAATATTTTAACCAAATCGAAAAAAATTCTCAGATTATAATAATATGAATATGATGAGATAATTTGTTATTAACTTTGTTTTTTCATATCTGTCAAATTTCACACATTGTATTACTGATTTAAACTTTGAACA